AGACACAAACAGGATGAGCACTCTAATGTTGGGAGCCTGGCATATGGTAGCACGTGCTGTGGAGATTACTAAAGCGAGGACAGGGAGACAGGAGAGTGCTGGGGGGGGGGGAAGGGTGTCAAGTGAGATGGTGGGAGGTCAGGACATTTGAGCAAACATGGAAATCTGGGGCTGGGGGCATTCCAGCAAGTGCAAAGGCCCTGGGGTTAGAGCAGCAAGGAGGTCGGTGGAGCTGGAGGAGATGCAGGGCCTCCTGGGAAAGAATTAGACTTTTACTTGGAGGAAATGGGGAGTCATGGGAGGATTCCGAGTAGGGCAGTGGTGGGGTCTGACTTAGGAATTACCAAAGTCCCCTGGCTGTTGCAGTGGGGAACAGACTGGAGTGGGCGCAGGGGTGAGGGACACAAGGTCAGAGGCAGGCAAGCCAGTAAAGAGGCCACTGAGGAGAGTGATGGGGCTGGGACCAGTGTGATTGAGAGCAGGGCCTGGGATCTGCTGATGGTTGGGTGGTGGCGGGAAGAGAAATGGGCCGTGGTGACTTTGAGGCCTGTGGTTGTTAGTGACCTCTGATGCACGAGTCCACATGGTGCCTTTGTCCACAGCAGGCCTACTCTCTCTGGGCTCATGTCCCTTCTTCATGCCAGGGTGAACAGGCCCCAGCCCTCCAGGGGCTTTCAGAGGCAGCTGACTAGAAGCCTGGGGCCCTAAGGGGGACACCTTTCACCCTGGGGCTCCTTTCTCCCTATAGAGGAAAGGTCAAGGCCAACATGCAAACTTCACACTTCCATAAATGGTCTGTATTTTTCAATAAGAGTTTCCTACCCTTTTACCATTTGAGTGTCACATGAGACTGAAATATTGTTTCCCATCAGAGGAGTTAGAAAACCAGGACACTGTGACAGGACTTGATTGGGATTCCACCGGGAAGTGGTAGGGCTGGAGCAGAGCCCATGCCCCCTGGTCAGCACACTGAGGGCTGTACTACCTTTGTGGGCGAGAGAGACCTGGCTCCTTCCCTGGCTGTACAAAAATAGCACCCCACCCCGCCCCACGTGGCCCCGCCATGGGCCTGCCACCCCCACTACAGCAATGGTGACAAATCAATAATGAGAGGTGACAAGCTCTTTCGGTCATGTCCCAGCCTCTGGATGCTCTCTGCGATAATGTGGGGGTGATAGTAGCACCTGCCGTAGTGGCTTGCTTGCAGGATTTGATGAATTAAGACACATGAACGGTCCTTGGCACCAAGTATGTGCTCCATAAATGCCAGTTGTTATTATCAATGATAAAGGGCTTGGAGGGCCGCAATTGCTTTACAACCACCAGGAAAAAAAGTCTGATGGGCATCGTGCCCATTCAATGGGTTCTGCTAAGAGTGCATCAGGCTTGCCCATGGGCATGATAGATGCTGGCCACACCAGCTTCCTGACTCTGAGATGCAGTGTTTTCAGTGACGGCGGCTCCTGACCACCATTCAGGAAGACCATGGCATTTGCCAGAGTTAAGCCTCCCACTTGCGCCCAGGGTGGGGTGTGAGGCTGATTTGCAGGAGGTGGGCGCAGGGTGTCTCGCCAGGCAGTGCTGGGGGCCCGCCCCCTCCTGCATCCTCTCCCCAGTGCTGCCTGCCTGTCTCCCCGAGCCTCCCTCTGTGCGGGTCCAACCTGGCCCCTCACCGCTTCATCCAGGCCTCACGTTGGGTCGTACCATCCTCATTTCACAGCGAGGCCTGACAGTCATGTGAATTGCCTGAGGTCACACCGCAGTTTGGTGACACAGCAGGGACCCCCAAGGCTAGAACTACACATGCTAACTCAGCTGGGAGCCCTGAGACCCATGACTTACCTGCACTGAGGGAGGGGCCCCAGCAAATCCTCTCTCCTGGCCCTGGGCCTGGACAGAGTGGAGATTGGTCTCTGCCCTCGTGCATTCCCATCCCATCTGACATGCCAGGTCTTTGCAGAGCTGTCCCCTTCCTCTGTGTGTCTGGTATACCCTGGGTCCTGGCTGAGCTCCCTCAGCTCCCTTCCAATGCAGGCCAGAAGGTTTTCTTTTTTTTTAAGATTTTATTTATTTATCCATGAGAGACATACAGAGAGAGGCAGAGACACAGGCAGAGGGAGAAGCAGGCTCCATGCCAGGAGCCCGATGTGGGACTCGATCCCGGGACTCCTGGGACCCTAGCCAAAAGCAGACACTCAACCACTAAGTCACCCAAGTGCCCTGGGCCAGAGGGTTTTTAAAAATATGCAATTTATGCATACAAGGCACAATTTAAAAGGCATAAAGGACCGACAGATGCCAGATGCCTACTCTCCTTCCCATCACATTCCCCAGCCAACTAGTTCCCTGAAGGCAACCACCACTACCAGCTTTCCAGAAGTGTTCCCTGTCTGTATTTTTTCCCCCATACAAATGGAAGCATCCACAGCCTCGCTCTTCTGCACCCTGCTCCTTTTGTCTTAGTGGCATGACTTGGGGAGGGTTCAGTTCAGGACCAGAGCATTCTGTTATGTGTCTGCACCATAATCTCCTTAGGCAGTCCCCTGGCTGGGAAGCAGGGATGTTTCCAGCCTTAGGCTTTTGCAAGCAGTGCTGCAGCAAATGGAATTAGGCAGCATGGCCCTGCTGGCTGGAAGGTGAATTCCTAGGAGTGGCATTGCTGGGTGAGGGGAGGCATGCCTCTGTCATGGGGAGAGAAGATGCACCCCGCCCCCTCTGATCCAGGCTGGTCAAGTCACTTCCCCACTACCTGGGTAGGTTCGACCTTTGCTCTCATGAGGGCATGTCCCTACCCTCCTCCCCTTCCTGCCCCCACTGCTAGCCTGATGACAACTGAGCATTATTTGAATCCCCAAAGAGCATGGTTCTGTATGATTTCAAGGATTCTAGAGAGGGCTCTGGTCCCAGAGATACTTAATCTAACCTGGCTGAAAGTCCTTCATTAAATATCCCTGCCTTTCACTTTCCCATATCTACGTGCGTTGCTCTTTATGAAGTGAACGCTGCTTTGTAGGTGAAGTGCCAAATTCAGAAAAATCAAAATCCAGACTTGTTTCTTTGTCCCTTGATGCCGCCCTTCCTCCCACCCACCCCCACTGTGCATGAGTTTGTGGGAAGGTTGGTCTGAGGCTTTGTGAAGGGGAGTGGAACAAAATATATTTAGAGCCTGGGAGGAGCAAAGAGGAGGCAGTACTGGGTTATTACTGGGAGTTGGGCACTAGCCCCTGGACAGACAGGGAGACTGAAGCCAGGGAAGGCAGGGATGTCCTTGACCAAGGATCCTCACGTGGCGATGCCACCTGCCCTGAGCCTGAAGGTGAGCTGCCATAGGGGCTGGGCATCCCAGGGACCCCCAGGTGGGTGTGAACTTCGCAGAGGCCAACCCTCCCCCAGTATTCTCACAGGAGAAGGTTCTTTTTTAATTTTTATTTTTATTTTAAAGATTTCATTTATTTATTCATGAGAGACACAGAGAGAGAGAGAGAGAGAGGCAGAGACACAGGCAGAGGGAAAAGCAGGCTCTATGCAGGGAGCCCTACATGGAACTCGATCCTGTGTCTCCAGGACCATGCCCTGGGCTGAAGGTGGCGCTAAACCACGGAGCCACTCGGGCTGCCCCTCGGGAGAGGGCTCATAGTCCCTGAGCAGTGCAGAGGCAGGGAGGCATCCCTTGGGCATCCCCTACCCTGAGGCTGGCAGCTCCTCATGGGGTCATTCCTGCCCTGGCCTCCCTGCCCCTTTGAAGACCAGGTCCCTGGCCCTGTGGGTCCTGTCTCCTGAGCCATTCTTGCATGGGTTGGCAGCAAGGCCTGGGTGGGGGCACGGGGAAGGGCAGCATCGCAGCCCTGGGGCAGCACATGGCCCAGATTGGACAGCCTTAATGCCTGCCGACAGATCCAGGCCACACACAGCCACTCCAGTGCTCACACAGATCACAGTGGTCTGACCTGTAGGCCAGGAAGCTGCATGTTTGGGACTCTTAAAGAGACACGTAAGTGGCTAATGGAGGCTTTTGAGGCCTGGCACCGGGGCAGGCAAAAGGGCATTTACAGGGGCCCAGCCTGGGCCAGAGATGGGAGGTGGGCCCTGCTGCCAGCTTTCCAGGGAGCTCAGGTCCAGGTTCCAGGTGGGGGACTTGAGGCTCTAGGGGCTGAGACCAGGGACTCTGTTGGGTGGGAGAGCTAAGGAGGGTATATTTGGTGCAAGGGTTCAGGTGGATCAGGGTGGGGGCAGTGCTAAGGGGGGCAGATTGAGAACCAGCTGGGGTCACGGAGCCTTAGTGGGCCCTACAGGATGCCAGGTCCTGGGGAGGGGAGGCAGGACGTGCATAAAGATTCACCTGATTGCTGCCTTCGAGGAGCTGTGTGTGTTTCTGAGGCCAACTGCAGGTTTATATAAAGAAATATGTAAGTGTATGGTTCTGACTTTTAACTTTTTTTTTTTTAAGAATTTACTGTAGAAAAAAAAAGAATTTACTGTAGAGTTGCTGGTTGGTTTTTTTTTATTTATGATAGTCACACAGAGAGAGAGAGAGAGAGAGGCAGAGACATAGGCAGAGGGAGAAGCAGGCTCCATGCACCGGGAGCCCGATGTGGGATTCGATCCCGGGTCTCCAGGATCGCCCCCTGGGCCAAAGGCAGGCGCTAAACCGCTGCACCACCCAGGGATCCCTGACTTTTAACTTTGAGTCCAGGAGCACAAAAACAGTTGTGGGTGCCATGGTTCTGGCAGTTGGGGCTGGCTTCTGAAAAGAGCTGCCACACTGGAGCTGAAGAATGGATCTGGGGGAGAGGATATGGAGTGAAGGGAGGCAAGATGGGGGGGTCTACACAAGGGGTGCTACGAGGTTACTCTTGGGGTTACCGTAAGGATGGGGAGCCTGTCCCCCAGCAGGAAGTCCCCATCCCCATGCAAGGCTCAAGCCTGTGGAGCCCTCATCCCCACAGCAGGTTTGGGCCTCAGGCCTGGAATGGGCCACATGGGGCACTTCCCCTCTCCAGGGATCTCTCTTTACCCTCCCAGCGCATGAGCAGCCCAGCCTGCTGACCACCACTGCACACCCACCTGTCCCCCCACGGCTACACCATGTCTGGCTCCTACGACGAGGCCTCGCTAGCTCCGGAGGAGACCACTGACAGCTTCTGGGAGGTGAGGCTTTGACGCTCCCCAGTCCTGGAGGCCAGATGGCCTGGCCCTGTGGCAGCCAGGCTCCCACCCACCCACAACCTTGCTCCCCAGCCCCTCGGGTCCCTCCAAATTCCTTGGCATTCAACAGGCAGCCGTAGCCATGAAGTGGGGTAAAACCACTGCCCACCAAGCCCAGAGCCCCTCTGCCCCACAGCTGCCCCTGGAGAGATCCTGCCGCATTTTGTGATGTGGAACAGGCTCCTCCTGACTGGCTGCTCTAGGGAATCTCACTCAGACCCTGACCTTCAGGAAGGCAGGTGCAGGGCTTCACAGCTTACACAGCCTTTCACTGAGGCTCCCCACCCCCTTCCCTGTAGCGTGAATTCCAGAAGCCCCACAGCAACAAAGAGGTGGAGACCAGAGGAGAAGCCAGCATTTCAGGCGGCTCCCAAACTATCTGAGACCAAGGAATAACATGTTTTCGATCGGCTTCCTAAACCCAAAGCAAAAACTGCCAAGCCTATATTAATAAGTGTTTAATGAGATGTCTACAAAACATAATATTATGTCAAGAAGCTGCGGCTCAGCTCAACACTTACATGGCTCTATAAATATAATACGTTTAGCTGCAAGAACAAGATGAATAATTCATTCAAGTCTGGGTCCAAATTATAAAAATCTTGCACTTTGTGGCAGCGAGAAAATTATGTGGCAAGCCAGGTGAGGGAGTGTATAGGCCGTGAGGTTTGGCGCAGGGTGCTGAGCAACCCCCCCCCCCCGCCCCGCCCAAAGTGAGGGGAGGAGGGGCCCCCAGCGCGTTCCGGGGCGGCGAGGCGGTGAGGAGGGGGAAGGAGGTCGCGGCGGCGTCCGGGGCGGGGGCGGGGGCGGGGGCGCGGGGAGCCCGCGGGAGTCGTGCTGGTCCTTGGCCGCCAGGTGGGGAACTACAAGCGGACGGTGAAGCGCATCGACGACGGCCACCGCCTGTGTAACGACCTGATGAACTGCGTGCAGGAGCGCGCCAAGATCGAGAAGGCCTACGCACAGCAGCTCACCGACTGGGCCAAGCGCTGGCGCCAGCTCCTCGAGAAAGGTGCTCCCATGCCCGCCCCGGGCGCGCTGCCCACGGTCTGGGGCCCCAGGGCGCCCCGCCACGCGGATGCACCTGCAGCCCCCGGCCCCGGCCCGGCCCCGGCCCGGGCCCCGGCCCCGGCCCCACACTGCGCCCTGACCCTCCCAGACCAAGCCGGGTCTCCCTGTCCCTGTTCTACTCGACTTTGTACGATTTTAGGTTGGATTAAAAAGACAAAACAAAACCAGGCCTTTTTATTTCCAAATACTTTTAACTTCTTAGAGAAAAGATGCAAGAATCAGAGAGAGAACTATGTAGTCTTCACCCAGGTGCACCAGTTAACGTTTTACCACATTGTATCCTCAGTCCCTCTTTCTCTGATGCATTTTTTTTTAACTGTTTACGTGGGAGACATGCCACTCTACCCTAAATCCTTCATATATCTCCCAAGAATAAGACGTTTGCTTACATAACCATAGTTCAACGATCAAATTCAGGACATTTAATATGACTCATATGCAAATTTTATTATAGCAATTGTTTGTGCTGGTCCAGAAGCCAATCCAGAATCACATCCTGCATTTAGTTATCCTGTGTATAGATTCCTTTAATCTGGAACACTTTCAGGCTAGGGTTTACATGTATTTGTTAATTTTTTTTTCTTCCATGAGACCCTAAATCCCATGAGGGCAGGGGCTAAACCTGTACTCCCCAGCATTGTGCCTGGCACAGAGTTGATCCCCAATATACAGATGAACAAACAAGCGACTGTGGAATGTCTGGTTCCAGTGGCCTCCCGGCATCAGTCACCAGCTGCTTCTTCAGTTTTATACTCAGTCAACATTCCTGAAGCACCGGCTGTGTGCCAGGTGCTGTGCTGGGCTTGTGAGAGCTTGCCGGGTCCAGGCTGCCCCCCACCATGGGGCTCACCAGCTGGCTGGGGAGATAGGGAGTAGAGAGAGGCAGATGCTGTATGAAGGATTCAGTGAGGGCTGCAGGCTGCAGGGTGTGAGAACAGAGCAGTCAGAGAAAGCTTCCTGGAGGAGGTACATGGGCCCTGAAAGATGGATAAAACTATAAAGAGAGCAGGGGAGGGCATTTCTGTGCATGTGGCATGGACGGGGAAAGCCTCAGAGAAAGGAGGCATGAGAGAGGCCTCTGAGCAGGGGGTGATGAGGGCATCGTGATCCTGTGACATTTCCTCAGGGCCACAGTATGGCAGCCTGGAGCGGGCCTGGGGTGCCATCATGACGGAGGCGGACAAGGTGAGCGAACTGCACCAGGAAGTAAAGAACAATCTGCTGAATGAGGACCTGGAGAAGGTCAAGAACTGGCAAAAGGATGCCTATCACAAGCAGATCATGGGCGGCTTCAAGGAGACCAAGGAGGCTGAAGACGGCTTCCGCAAGGCCCAGAAGCCCTGGGCCAAGAAGATGAAGGAGGTGCCCAGGGGTGGCTGCTGCGGTTGGGGCGAGGGTGGGCAGCTGAGCTCAGAGGGGCAGTCTGATTGGAGAGGGTGGGCGGTACCTCACCCGCCGGGATTGTGCCTGCCGGGGAGCAGCATTGCCTAGATGGCAGAAATAGCCACAGATGGGGCAGGCATCACGGTGCCCAATGGGAGGGTGTCCCTAGAGGCAGCAGGCAGTGCCGTGCAGGGAAACATCCACAGATGGATGGGCACTGCTCCCAAATACCTGGAGCAAGGGCCCACATCCCTTCTGCCTCTTTAGGACGTGTGCTCCCCAGCCCCCGGCAGGTGGGAGGGCTTGATGAGTGACCGCATCTGTTCCTGATTATAAGTAGGAGCTCTACCTCCTGTTCCCTCCGGCCCACAGCTAGAGGCAGCGAAGAAGGCCTACCATCTGGCCTGCAAAGAGGAGAAGCTGGCCATGACACGGGAGATGAACAGCAAGACGGAGCAGTCAGTGACGCCCGAGCAGCAGAAGAAGCTGCAGGACAAAGTGGACAAGTGCAAGCAGGATGTCCAGAAGGTGCCCCAGGGCTGGGGTCTGAGAGCTGCCGGGAGTGGGTGGGGACTGAGAGCCGCGTGCCTGGGCCTCACCCTTCCTTCGCCCTGGTGCCTGTAGACGCAGGAGAAGTATGAGAAGGTGCTGGATGACGTGGGCAAGACCACCCCCCAGTACATGGAGGGCATGGAGCAGGTGTTCGAACAGTGCCAGCAGTTTGAGGAAAAGCGGCTGGTCTTCCTCAAGGAGGTGCTGCTGGACATCAAACGTCACCTAAACCTAGCTGAGAATAGCAGGTAGCTGGGCGTGGCAGCATGGGGGGCACGGGCACAGAGGGCAGGGGGTGGAAGTGGTGTGTAAGGCCCCCTGGGCCCAATGTCACTGGGACAGGAGGGGTGGGCAGAGCTGCAAGGGCCAAGAAGGAAGAGGCTCCAAATACAGCGCTGGCTGCCAGGGAAACATGCCCGGATGGATGGGTGAGTGGCTGAGGTGGGGATAAGAAAGAGTGCCCCCTGGTGTGTCTGGGGCTGCCCACTCAGGCATCGCTCCTTGGCCAGCCCACCTTCTACCTAGCTGGCCCTGAATGGGCTCCCTCTGGCCCTCAGCGAGGATGAGAAGGGACCATGGTGCATCTTGCCCCCCAACTCCCCGTCTCCCCCATGCACAGCTATGTCCATGTGTACCGGGAGCTGGAGCAGGCTATCCGGGGGGCCGATGCCCAGGATGACCTCAGGTGGTTCCGCAGCACCAGCGGTCCTGGTATGCCCATGAACTGGCCCCAGTTTGAGGTGAGGAAGTGTGGGGATGGAGAAGGGAAGTCGGAAAAGGCTGGAAGGGACCTCAGGGGTCTCCCTGCCTCACTGCTCCCCTGGTACCCACCAGGAGTGGAACCCAGACCTTCCTCACACTGCCACCAAGAAAGAGAAACAGCCCAAGAAGGCAGAGGGGGTGACGCTGACCAATGCCACTGGAGTGGTGGAGACCACATCCCAGGCTGGGGACCGTGGCAGGTGAGTGCCTCCTGCAGAACTTCCTGAGGGGGCTGGAGGGGCCCACATACTGGGGCAGATGAGTTTTACCTCAGGAGACAAGAAATGGTCTGAATCACAGGAATCACATGCTCCTCTCAAAGATAGTGGTAGGTCCATCCTTTGAGAGCTCCTACTACGTGCCAGGCACTGCTGTAAGCCCTTTCCATATATTAACTCCTGGAAGCCTCCCAACACTGAGAAGTGCGTAGAGAGTCCCATTCTGCAGATGGAGAAACTGAAACCCGGAGAGATGTGACTTACCCAAGGCCACACAGCTAGTTAGTAAGCCTCAGAGCTGGGATATGATGTCCAAAAGGTCAAGCTCCTGGGACACCTAGGTGGCTCAGTGGTTGAGCGCCTCCCTTGGGCCCAAGCTGTGATCCTGGAGTCCCAGGGTCGAGTCCCACATTGGGCTCCCTGCATGGAGGGAGCTTGCTTCTTCCTCTGCCGTGTCTCTGCCTCCGTCTGTGTCTCTCATGGATAAATAAAAATAAAATCTTAAAAAACAAAACAAGACAAAAAAAGGTCAAGCTCCTTATCCACTTGCTGCCCGTCTCAGATGAAGGGTCACATGTTCTCAGGGGTCCCATGCAGTGCCCCCTCACTCAAAGGCTGGGTAATAATGCTAATAGTCCTGCCTCATATTTATCGAAAGAGCTGTCAATGAGCGTCACTGGCTCGGGACCCCCTCTTACGAGGCCCATCCCTACACCAGCCTTGGTGGAACTTGGGGCCAGAGCCCTGATGGGCAGGACGGGGCAGCCCTAGAGACGAGGGGAGGGGCAGTTTATGCGGGGTCCTCTCATTGCGTCCCAGCGTTAGCAGCTACGACCGCGGCCAGCCTTATGCCACCGAGTGGTCAGATGACGAGAGTGGGAACCCATTTGGGGGCAATGAGGCCAACGGGGGCTCCAACCCCTTCGAGGACGACGCCAAGGGAGTGCGTGTGCGTGCGCTCTACGACTACGACGGCCAGGAGCAGGATGAGCTGAGCTTCAAGGCTGGTACGGGGCGCGGCCGGAGGGCAGGGAGTGCGGCTGGGGCCGGGCCAAGCCTGGCTGGATCCCAAGACGCGGGGCCTGGGCTTTGGGGGGCAGGGCCGAGACCCAGTTCAGGGGTTTGGCTGGGGGCCACACGTGGGTGTCGGGATGTGGCTGGGGCTGGGCTCCAGAGCGGGCTTTGGAACAGTGATGGGAGGGCAGTGGGATGGCCCAGAATAACCAGTTTTAGAGAGCTCACCTAGCATTGTGGGGGTGGGGGTAGCTCTCTCTGAGCCCCTGTCGATGAACTCCTCTGTGTTCCCTTCCTAGGAGATGAGCTCACCAAGCTGGGCGAGGAGGACGAGCAGGGATGGTGCCGCGGGCGGCTGGACAGTGGGCAGCTGGGCCTCTACCCCGCAAACTACGTGGAGGCCATCTAGCTCCCCTGCTCCTCTCCACACCCCCCTCACCCCTCGTCCACTGCCTCCCCTCCCTTCTCTCTCGTCCCTCTTCCCTCGCCATAGAGTTCCAGACATATTTTCCGATCAAGCTTTTATTTTTTTAAAAGTCAAAACAGAACAAAACAAAAAATACAGAGACAGAAGCATTTGCAGGGCCGCCTGGAGGCCAGGGTGGTGGGACTCAGGGTGATGGCCCCAGGGTAGGTGAGGGTCTTAGTACTTAGCCCAACAGAGACATTACTTCTGCTCTTCAGATCCCACCAAAGAGTCTCCTGAGCCCTGAGGGATGTCTCCTGGACCCGCACTCCCCACAGACTAAGCTTCCCAACCCCAGGCTGCCAGCACCTGTTCCCCATCCTCTCCTGGGGGCCTGCTTTCCCGACCTCTTCCTTCTGTCCCGCCATGCTCCTCTCCCTCCACCACCCTACTGTCAAAGGCCTCCCCTTCAGACCCCAGAGAAGGGGGTCCTCCCAGTCTTCAGTCTTCCACTTTGCCCTGGGGAGTACCCTTCTTCCCCTGGCCTCACCCCTAAGGACTGGTGGGCCTGGAGGAGGAACAGTCGCTGTCTTCTCCCATAGCGATGTCCTGGGGTCCCTAGACGCCCCCAGACGTGACGGGGTGAGCTGGAGTTGGTGACAGTGTCACTGGGGTATAGAAGGATGAGTGTAGGGGGGCCAGGCCCTCAGCAACCCCAGCACCAGGCTCAGCTGTGGCACCAAGACCCGCTTGGGGCGCTTCTTTCCAGCTGTTGGCGATTTGGGCACAGGCTCTTGCTTGGAGTCACCCTTCAGTGACTTGCAGAAACCCTGCCCCTCTCTCCTAAGTCCTCAGGCAGGGGGAGAGGCCTCACAGCCCAGGGCAAAGCCAGCAACTGTAGCAGCCTCCTCCCGTTCCCTGGGGAGAAGGGCACCTTGCCCAACCACACCTCTGACCCTCCCTGTGCACCCCCTCCTTGTGAATCTTCCTAGATTCACTAAGTTCAGCCAGCACCCACCCCCCCAACCGCCAACTCGCCCTTTTGCCAGACAGCCTTGTGGCCTCCCATCCCTCTCTCCCCTTCTCTGGCCTTCCCAAGAAGATGCTGCAGGGTCCAAGGGATTTTCCAGCCTGGGACCACTAGGAACACAGTAGCACCAATGGGAAAGATGTGGCTTTGGCAAGAAGGAGGCTCCCAGGCTCTCCGGAGCAGGACAGTCACAGTGTCTTTCTTCCTTGTCCCGTCCTCAACTGGTCCTTGCCCCTAGAGCAGCATTCCCCCTGCTGGCAGCCCCTCCGTATCTCTAGGCCTGGGTCTCAAAGGACTTTTTGGGAGGTGGGGGGTGGGGGTAGAGGAGGCAAAGGACCTGCCCAGAGTCAGAGTGTTTCCTGTGGTTGGTGAAGGAAAGCAGGGTTGGGTTACCAAGTATTAGTACCAGGTACCAGCTTCTCCCACACATGTGGGCACAGGGGCTTGAAGCAGACCAGACCAGGGCAGGACAAAAACCTCAAGGCAGCCGGGGTGGGGGGTGGGGGGGTGGCTGGAAGAGGAGTCTCTCGGAAACCTCTGGGACTTCTTGTAGCACCAGGAGAGCTTCTGAGCCTCAGGGCTGCAGAGACCCCACCCCCTTCTACAGCACCTGCTGCCCAGGTGATACCCCAGCCTTCTGGCACCCCTCAGTCCTTCTGCTCCGGCTGCTTCTGCCATCAGTCCACTTTCAGGTGGTGGACCCCAGTCTCCAGGCCCTGACCCTGTTGGCGTGTGCACGGAGGATCCCGGCAGACTCTGCAGAGCTCCCTAAGGGTCAGGAGAGTTGGAGGGTGGGGGTGATGGCACCCCCAGGGACAGGTGGACTCCCATTTCTTGCTACTGTCTGCTCTCTGGGCGTCTGCTGCAGCCTGAGATGTGCCCTAGGCCCCTCAGAGCCCAAAGCAGGATTTCGGAAGCCCTCTGCCCATCTGACTCCAGACCAAAAGCCTCTCCTCCGGGTGGGAGTTGGGGTTGGGAGTCTTTGCCCTTCACCATGGACCCTTGGAAGGCAGGAAGCTGGCACATCTGCGCCTTGGGGCCTGGGCTCTCCTTGTCTGTGCCAGTGGCTTTCAAGCACCTGGGGAGGGCCTGGGGTCCCTGCTGGATCCCAGGCCTGTCCCCCTCAGCACTCCAGCTGCCCTTTCTGGGGCAGGGACTTGAGATCCCATTCTTTCTGAGCAACCACCTCCATGGCCCAATTTGGGACCACTCTCTCTTAGTCCCCTGGCTCCTCAGGACCCCGGAGTGGGAGGCTTTCCCACCTGGCCGTCCGCCCCACCCCGAGCTCTAGGGGCCTAGCCCCACCCGTCAGTGCTGGTGTCAGGGCACTCACCACCAAGCGTGGGGGCCGCACCCCTCACCGTGCCCACCATCTCTTGTAGCCCCTACCTGCACCCTCAATGCTGCACGGGCCCGCCCCATGGGGCTCGGCAACTAATGTGTTTTGTCCCCAGTTAATCACCATTCTACAGCCTGGCTCTGCAAGGGGCTGGGGCTGCCCTGCTGCCCGCCATCTGCTGCCCTAGGCTTCCTGACTCCATTCGTCCAACACTTGTGACACTCCGAGAAGTGCTGTGGTCTCAGCAATGCACCTGTTTTGTACATGATTGTGTAATTTAAAGGTATATAAATACAAATATATATATATATATCAGTTGTGATCGTATGACTGTGGATAAAATCCAGAACTGTGTCAACCTAGTGGGACGTGGTGTTCTTGAGTCTTGTGTGTCTCTCGAACTCTCTGAGACTTGTTTGTGCTTGGGGGGCCTGTCAAGGAGGGGGTGCCCAGCATACTGCGTGCTGTCCTGGCTGACCACTGATGGGCAGGAGGACTGAGGGCTGATCCCCCAACCTTCCAGGGCCCTGGGCTCTGTCTGCACAGGGTGGTAGGTGACAGATGAGGCTTCTGATGCTGTGGCCCTAGGGTCCTGGGTGCCCAGAGATGAGCACTGATCAAGATTGCTGGGGCTTTAAACTCACAGTTCAAGGGTCACCCCTACATAGGTTTGTATTTATTTATTTATGGGGGGGGGGGCACTGAACCAGGAAGCTTTATTTTAATTTGTTTTTAAAAAATATTTTATTAATTTATTTATTTGAGAGAAAGCCGGGGGTGGGGGCAGGGTGAGGGCAGGTGGAGCAGAGGGAGAGGGACAAGCAGACTTCCCACTGAGTGCAGAGCCTGACATGGGGCTCGATCCCACGACCCTGAGATCATGACCAGAGCTGAAATCAAGAGTAGGATGCTTAACCCGACTGAGCCACACAGGCACCCCAGGTTTTAGTTTTTAAAGCAAAATTGTAAAAGTGACTGCTGAGGCCTGTGGCTCCAGTTGTTCACTGTCCCAGGGCTCCCTGTGGTGTGGCATCAGGTCATGGCCCGTTTTCCTGTGTCCTGCCTGTCCTCTGACAGCATTTCTATGTGGGAACCCTGGGAGGGCTCCCCTAGGAGGATTGCTCAAGGGGGTGGGCAGGACCGAGGTCCTGGGCTCTCAGCTCCATTACCCACCCTCCACTTGCAGGTAGGTCTCCTCTGGGTTAGGCAGGAGTCCCAGGTCTGGGCCAGTTCTGCCGCCAGTTCGCTGCATCCCCACCTGGACCCCAGCCTCAGCTTCCCCCAGTCAGGTCAGATATCTTTCTGAGGCCCCTCTGGCCCTGGCAGCCTGGTGGGGCCCAACACAAAGCCATTATTGGAGGCACATGTACCGCAGCCCCCAAGCCCTGGCAGCTTGGGGCCTCAGGCCAGGGAGGAAAGGTCAAGGTGGGGGTTGATCTGTTTACCACCTTGTGTCCTTTATCCCCCACATCCACCTCCAGTGACAAGCCCCTGGTTTTAGCCACACAGAAGACCCTTCAAATAAAGACAAAGGGTGGCCTGGTCTTATTTGTGCAGGCTTTTCTGTGCGGTTGTGGGGAGCCCTGCAGGCACTGTCCTGGGAGGAGGGCCAGGAAACACCTGGGCAGGATGGAGTTCCGATGGGCAGGTGTGTGGAGGAGGAAGAGGACTCTGGAGTTGATGTCAGTGCACGAGGTGTCACTGGAGGGGTGTGTGCCTGCCAAGGGGATGTGTGCCTCGTGGCAGATCCACGCAGCAAGGAGCTGCCTCACCCCTCTCCAGAGCACCCTTTCTGGGAGTAGCTCCAGCTCCCCACTCCTAGCCACTAATCCTCCGTCCTCTGCTCCCTCCTCGGCCCAGCCTGAGACCCCAAGCTGCTCCAGGCCCAGGTCCAGCTGGGGACATGAAAGCAGGTGGCTCCAGGGACTCAACTGGGGGCAGGCCAGGAAGGCGGGAGACAAAACCAGTTCAGCAGAGTAGAGCTGAGTTCTGGCCAGGGTCCCAATCGGGCCCCCTCCCTAGAAGGAGGCAGGCAGCCAGCCCCCCCACCCCCTCCACCACCCCCCCGGCAGAGGCACAGGCCTGGGGCAGGGCCCCCTCCTCCTGCCAGTCCAGTCCCAACTGACAGATGCCAAGGTGGTGTTTGCTCACTGCCAGGAGTAAACTTTCTTTTGGAGACAATAAAATTGCTGAGGGCAGAAGGCAGCAGTATAGGGTAGCATTTAACCCTCCATGGTCTGGGCCGCTCTGGCTGCCTCCCAATCCTGTCTCCTGGAGCCTGGCATCAGAAGTGGAGGGTTATGGAGGCTAGAGCTGCTCACCAGCCACAAAACAAGGGGAGTGGAGGGGCAGAGAGAGCACTGTCCCTGCGGGTTCAGCTCCTGGTTCTGCCACTGATTGGCTGTGTGATTTCGAGTAAGTCATTTAACTGCTCTGAGCCTTAGTTTCATTGTCTGCAGAATAGGGGAGTAACCCCTACCTCACAGTTTTGCTGGAAAGGTTCATGACAAAAAAAGCGGTGGAGGCACCTAGCACATAGTCGGTCCTCAGGACGCGGAAGCTGGCTGAACAAATGTGAAGAAGCTGAGATGGTTGCTGGTGGGCCCAGCTCCCCCCCACACACTCCCCCCTCACACACACACATTCTGACCCCACCTTTCCCCAACGGCATGGGGTGCTTTGCAGGGCGCATTTGCAGAGGTCCATGACTCTCCAAGAAAGGGATACTGCAGGGGATCCCTGGGTGGCTCAGCGGTTTGGCGCCTGCCTTTGGCCCAGGGCGCGACCCTGGAGCCCTGGAGTTGATGTCCCACGTCAGGCTCCCAGCATGGAGCCTGCTTCTCCCTTCTCCTGTGTCTCTGCCTCTCTCTCTCTCTCTCTCTCTTTCTCTCTCTCTATGTCTATCATAAATAAATAAATCTTAAAAAAAGGAAAAAGAAAGGGACACTGCAGACAAGCCAACCCTTCCTCCACCCCTTTTGCTGCAGAGCCAGGGTCCCAGGCAGGAGGCTGAAGTGCTCACCCACTCCTGCACCCCTGCTGCCCCATCCAGAGCCCCCAGGGTTCAGGGTCCCCTCGAAAGAGGGTTAGCACCCTGGCCACTTCAGGCAGAGAGCCCTGGCCTGCACCTGGAGGGGAGGACATGTGGGCCATTCCAGCCCCTCCTTGGCCTTGAGGGCTCACTGCCTCTCCCACAGCTTCTACCGATCAATTATCCCTTTCCTGGTAGGCTCAGCTCAATGTGGCTTCCCCCAGGAAGCCTCCTTTGACCACTCCCAGGCCACTGTGACCATAACCACTTTGAGCATTGGTGGCCTCAGGGCTGTGCCACTCACTTGCTGCAGACACCGGAGGCCACATTGGTTTTCTAGTATCTTTATTACCCGTTCCCAGAAGCACCCTTGGCTCCCCAACCCAGGGGTGCAGAGGTGTCCTAGCACCATGGCAAGCATGGTGCAGAATGGGTGGCAGGGAGCACCGGACTGTGAGTGGCCTTGGCTAAGTCACTGCTGTTCCGTTGGCTCTGCTCTGGACGTTCTGGGGTCAGAGGTTGGGGTGGAGGGACGGCCTTCCCTGGTTCCTTCCATCCTCCAGTGGACTGGGCACACGAGCAGTCAGGCCTGAGGGGGATGCACCCCCACCCTGGGGTCCCTTGGGCCCCTGAGAGCTCACTTAAACCCCTGGGAGCAGTGGGCTGTCCCCTCCCTGACCTTGGGCTCCGATGCCAGCAGACTGCCCTCAGCTCAGGGTCTGGCAGAGGCAGGGGCAGGCAGGAGGGGGCACTGGCAAGGGCGAGTTTCAGGCCCAGGGCCTGGCCCGCAGCCCTCAGATGGGGTGCACGAACTGGTAGACGAGGCGTTGGGAGATGTCTGGCTTCCGGATGATGCCCTTCTTGTAATACTGGCGGATGGAGCGGCTCAGCTTGTCGTAGTTCATGGCGGGCCTGTTCTTGCGGATGCCCCATAGCCGGGCCACCTGGGCAGAGTCCTCAATCTTGAAGATGCCTGAGGGAGCAGGGATCCCAGAGACAGAGCCAGGGGCGGGCAAAAGACCAAAACCAACAGGTCAGACTCAGAAAGTCAAGGGGGCCGGTGTCAGTTGGAAGCAAGGGCCAGGCTGTGGGGGCCGCAGTACCTATACCCAAGGTTATGGTGAGGGTTGGAGGCTCTCTGTGCAGAGTGCATCACAGGCCCCAATAAGTGGCAAGTGATACCATGGAGTCACAGACCTCCTGGGTGCAGGGTGAGCCTGTGTACGGTAGTGGGTTATTTGGGGTCCTCGAGGCGTGGCCCGTGCCAGCCTCTGCTCCTCCTGTGGGGTTCGCACAACCATTCAGAAGCCCTGGGGGGCTCTGAGCTGTGGCCACAGCTCCTTTTTCAAGGTCATCCCCACCTCCACCCCCACCCCGGCCACTTTCACCAGCAGTTTCTAAGCCCAAAAGAGCTCTTGGCCATCCTCAGCCACTTAAGCCAGCACAGCCCTATCTGGTAAGATTGATTCCGAGGAGGCAGAGGAAGCCGTGGATTTGAGCCAGGCTGAACTGGGTTCGAAGACTGGTTCTGCCCTCTTCTACCTTTGGAAGCTATTCTGAGGCCCCTTTATCCAGTCATTGGAGGGGGTCTTAGCAACTACCATTCGTGGAATGGTGACAGAAAGAGCTTACAGGGGAGGCTGAAGGAAGTGCCCCCAGAGAGGAACCATTACACTGTTAACACCCCAGTTCTCCTGCCAACCCAGGCCAGGACACCCCCTCCAGGAAGCCTTCCCAGACCACCCTGCCCTCCCTGATCTTTCCCTAGAAGTCTACCATGGAACTGTCTCCCAGAGGACCGGCTCACATTAAGTCTCAACTATACATGAGGGCTACCGCCCCTTGTGCAGGAACTTCTTTCCACCTCCTCTAGCCCTGTGCGTCCTTCACACTCAGCCTGTCACCTCCCCCGTGAAATCCTCCTGGACCAAGGCACAGCTGGCCCCACCGCCGACATGCTCTGCAGGCCAGCTCATTTCACTGCTAGCTCTCCTACCACGCTGCAAGTCCCTCCAGGATAGGGTGCAGCGGAATCTTCCCTCTACCGTCAGGACACTGATTGTCCATAAATGTTGCCTGGGCAAGTGTGGACGGAGGAGGTACTCAAGGAGAGGTTGTTGGATGAGTGAACCCAGTCCATTTTAAGATAAGAAGACTGAGGTCCCGGTACCCACAGCTACAGATGACAGGATGGGGTCTAAAACCCAGGTTCCTTGTCTTGGAGTTTTTTCCAACACACGCACACACACACATACACACACACCCCACCTGGTCCTGTCCAATGAGACAACCACTAGCCATATGTGGCCTTGAGCACTTGAAGTGTAGCAAGTCCAAACTGAGATGTGGTCTAAGTGTAAAATACACACCAGATTTTGAAGACTTAATAAAAATACCTCATTGATAATTTTCGATTAATTATATGTTGACATTTTAATAACGGTTAATATCAGATTAAATAAAAGTGTTCTCAAAATTAAAGCCGCCTTTTAAAAAAGTCTGATAACGTGACGTGGTTACTTGGAAGCCTGAGGCTGCGTTTGCGGCTCCTATCGGGCTTCTCATTGGACCCCATCCGGCTCCCCGGTGAAGCTACAGTGTTGAAGGCGGGGACCGTGTCCAGTTCTCAGCCAAGTTCAAACCCCTGAGTGTGGCCCGGGCACCGTGTGGAGTGGGTGTCCAGACCCCTCGGCCTGCCCCCAGCCCCCCCGGGCCTGGCACCTGGTAGGAGGCCAGCAGGTCCCCGCCAGCCCCCTGAGGCCTGTTCCCCGTGGCTCACCCTTCTCTTTGTTGAGCCACCGGATGAAGCGGCCGTAGCTGTGCGGCTTGAGCAGCAGCTCCTTGAGAAACTGCCACAGGTGGATGGGCTGCCCGGAGCACGAGGAGTCCACCTCGCTGTCGGTCCAGCTGTCCTCGCTGGTCGAGGCTGGGCAGCCGGCGGGGGAGGCGATGAATGGGGGGCCCCCTGCTTCGGGCGCAGCCAGCCCTCCAGCCCGGCCCCGGCCCCGGCCCCTCCCTGGCAGCCCTGGCTCACCGCAGTAGTGAACGGTCCCAGGAGAAGTCCGCTCTTTCATCCAGGCCGCTGCAGGGCAGGGAGAGAAGGCTAGAGACCCGGGGCTGACCCCAAGGGTGTTGGAGGGGGCTTGGGTGGGACTGTGGGGCCTGCAGAAACGCCCCTCTGTGGCCAAGCAAGGGGGCACGGAGGCAGCCAGCTTCTGTCCCCATCCCCACCAGGCTCTTAGCCGGGCACTGACTGCTGCTACCCTGCTGGCCACTGGGCTGGGCAGGACAGTGGTCTCTACCGGTCTCTACGAGTGGGTGGGTAGGCCTTTATTCATCCCAGGTCCCTAAGGGCAGGGGCCTTGACTCACTTCCTCCCAGCACTGGCTCTGTGTAGGGCACACAGTGGGATGCCAGACAATTCAAGGGTTAAGGAGTTGGCACGCAGTCATTAAAAATAGGGCGGCTGTAGAGATGCTGATGGGGGAACAAGATCCGAGATGCACCGAGAGCAGACCCGCAGACTGGTGTGATACTCTGGTGCTATTCGTGTTAAAACGGGTGAAAAACACACATGTATATCTCTTTGTGCATGTGTGGACTCTCCCCAGCAAGGTGCGCAAGAAACTGCGGACTGTGCTTGCCTCTAGGAAGGGGGTCTGGGGGTCACGAGTGACCAAGATTATTTTTCATGGTACTATTTTCACTGTGGTCTTCTTGGAAATCATGCACGTGTACTACCTCATTATTTCTTTAATGAGAAACAACGCAAAGCAAAACTTTTTTTTAAAAGGACAAAGAAGGACCTCATAGTATCCACGGTCTCCATCAGCTATGCATCCATGTCCCCCCCATTTAACTCCTACCTTTTTTTTTTTTTAAACTCCTACCTTTTAACTTCCCATGTACTCTGCCCTAAGTTCTGTGGGCTTGACCAGGGCTGGGAGAGGGTCAGGGCTGGTGAGTTAGCCCAGGATCCAGGCAGGCAGGTGCAAGTGGGGCTGAGCCCAGACTGGGACCAAGGGTTGTGGCCCCAGCAGAGAGCAAGCCCGGCTGGCATCCTGGCCTAAGCATCCCCCTCGGTGTCCCTGGCTTGGGGCTTGGAAGGAGCTTGTCTCCCCCAGGCCATGTCCCACCTGACTTCCAGATGTCCAGGTGGGCGTGCAGCACGTCCCCACCCAGAGGTGAGCGCTGGCGGAACTGCTCCTCTGACATGGCACACAGCTCCTTGCCCCCCAGCTCCTGGAAGGCCTTGCCCACAGGCGGCAGCCGGTACTGGTGCTCCGTCCACAGGAGCCACTTCTGCACGTTGCCAGGGCTCCAGTCCACAGGGTCTGGGCAAGAGATACTCCCTCAGTTCCACGAGCTACTTGAGGGCACCACCCCACCTCTGGTGGGGTGCCTGTGGGAACTGGAAGCAGCCTGTGGCCAGGACCACTTGCTTCTGGGATGAGAAGGGGCCAGGCCAGACAGGACCTTGAGGAACCCCGTGGAGGAGGGTGAAAGGACAGAGGCCCTAAAGGCAAACTTGGCTCATGGCAGGGCAGCCTGGGGCCTCTGCATGACCCCACCTCACTGGGACCTCAGGTTCTTCCCACCCTTGCAGTCCCTCCAAAGGATCTTTCAGGAAGCCCCAGCCCTGGAGGGGAGAGTTAAACCAGAGACACCTAAGCTTATCTTCCAGCTGCCTCTTGCTTTCCCCAAACCCTTCAAGGAGCCAGAAAACCTGACTAGGAAGTAGTCCTATAACCCCAACCCCTAACCCCTGCTGTATTTTACAGATGAGGAAACTGAGGCACAGAGAGCTCTAGCCCCTAGTCCTATGGTGTGCATAGTAGCTTCTCAGTGTATCTACACTGCATGAATGAATGGCAGGACATCAAGTGATCATGGGGCAGCTATAGGCCTCAGAGGCCAGGAAGAGAGTCACTGGCTAGGTCCTGGGTGTCTTCCTGGGGAGCTACTCTGGGCTGAGCCTGGCAGGGCACACGGGGAGGAGGCCAGGCTGATGGGCATGGTCACAATGGGCCTCCAAGTGGACACCGTGGTCTTAGCTGGTGCCCCAGCTCAGTGACCTGCAGGCTGGGCTGCCCTCACTTAATAAACCCATTTTCCTTCCCAGGGTCAAAGCAATTTGTTTCTGTCCTCATTGTTCGAGGGCAGGCCCTTCCCTCTCCCTGTGTGGGAAAATCTCCAGGGTTGGGAGCTGGCATGGGCATTGGGTAACTGGTAGAGGAGGGCAGTAGCCGCTTCAGAGGGGGAACACCAGCTGGGATGGATGGCAGGAGGGCCCGGGGCCCGATGACTCCGATGGGGAGGGGCTGAACCTGGGGGACCCCTGAGGACTTTTCTGTATGAAAGCAGCACGAGATGGCGATGCCCAGACACCAGGACCCAGCATCCCCGGAGATGGGTCAGGCCTGCCCAAAGCTGGAGAGATGATGCGTGAACAGGGGTCTGGAGACCCAGCAGCCCCTCGATCCACAGAGTCAGCACCATATCCACATCTTCCGGGTCCCTCAGACACACATGTGCCTGGACCCCTGAAGTCCCCCCCCTCATCAGAGCTCTCCTCACTACCAGACCAGGGACACATTCATCTACGTATCTATGATCCATTTCCCTCACTGGCATGTCACGAAGGAAGGGAGCTTTTGTGTTGCGTTCACCGCTCAACTCCCCCATGCTACAGCAGGGCCTGGCATATTAAGAAGTTACTATTTATTGAGCATCTGTGATGTGCCAGGTGCCTTCCTAGGAACTGGGTATATGGAACTGGGCAGTGAACAAAACAAATGAAAATCCCTGCCCTTGGGGTGTGTACATTCCAGTGGGGGAGACAGACAGCAAATACAATAAATCAATAAAATATGCAGGGTATTAGTTCATGTGATGAGGGGAAAAAGGCAGGTAGGAAGAATAAGATCTGGGGTTATGGACATAATTTCAAGAGAGGTGTCAGGGAAAGCCTCGTCAAAACAGGCAAGGCACGAGCCCAGTAAATATTTGGAGGAAGAGCATTTTAGATTGAGAGACAGGGAGATGCAAAGGTCCTGAGGTATGAATGTCATGGGAACAGCAAAGAGCAGGTGTGGCTGGAGCAGAGGAAATGAGGAGAGCATGGAGAGGTGTCCACGGGGACGTGGTGGGCCAGATGGTGTAGAGCTCGGATTCCCTGCCTCCCGTAGTCGGGGCTCAGAGAGGGTCCAACCTTCCTAGGCTCACAACTGTTAGGTGCTATGGGCTGACTGTATGTGCAGAATCAACAGCATCCCTGGGGCTGTGGATGCAGGCCCAGGGGTGACCAGAGTGCTGCAGGCAGTACCTTCGCCCCCCCCTTGTGACATCAGCCCTGCTTGTGCCCCCCCTAGGAGGCGGGCCCGCGGGAGGGCTCACCTGCAGTGATGTTGAGCAGCTTACAGGCTGTCTCGATGTCCTTAAGCACCTCGCCCACCACCATGGACTGCACCTGCTCCAGGGAGTGCTCCTCCAGGGTCAGCCCCCCCGGTGCCAAGTCCAGGCTGCCCCCAGGAGCTTGGCTGTCGATGACCGGGCACTGCTCAGGGTCCTCAGATGGCTCCTCCCGAGCGCTGGCCCCGGGGCCCTTGGCGGCCCAGCTACTGTCCTCAGGGTACAGCATGTCAAAGTAGGAGAGGTAGAAGGTGGACAGGCCCTGCTCAGGTGTGGCAGGTGGGCTGGGGCTCCAGTCCCGTCTCTCAGGGGCCACTGCCCCCACGGCCGCCTTTTCCAGGCCTGTCCGCAGCAAGGTGTCAGGGGGCAGCAGGAGGCGGCTGGGGGACACGCTGCTCAGGCCGGGGCTGGCGCTGCCCATGCCGCTGTCGCTTGGGCCAGTAGCTGTGTCTACAGAAGTAAGAGAGAACAGAGAATCAGGCTCTGGCTGCTTCCCCATCCCCCTGGGGGCCACTAAGCTGGTTACGGGGATGAGGGGCCCAGTGGGCAGTGGCCAGGCCTGGGAGAGAGAGCTGGGGCTTCCGGGTCATTGGGCAGTTAGGACAGGGCTGGGCGGATCGGCTTCTGGCTGGGAAAGACAGTGAGGTCTAAGCAGACAGCTCCCTCAGTCCCCAAGGAAGCCAGCTTGGTTGGAAGCAGCGAATCTTTATGCATGTGGTGTGCCTTAGACACCTTCTGAGGTTCTTGGCCTGACTGAATCCTCACCGTGGAAGGCATGATTAGCCCCATTCAGTAGATGAGCAAACTGAGGCCTGGACAAGGAGTCTTTAATGTCCAGCCCCGGCCCAGATCCCAGTCCACCACTCTGTGGAGGAAGTTCCTACTGAGAGCTAACCTAAATCTGTCTCGCTGTAGCAGAGTTTGTGTTCTTTTATTCTTCCTTAAAGAGGATAGAGAAGGGAGAAGGTCACCATCACCTTCCTGTCAGGTGAAGGAAGAAAGGAGCAAGAGAGGGGTGTGACAGGTTAGCATCTTCTCACCAGTCGGGGAAGCCGGCCCCTTCCCCTCCCACAGGGCCATCTGGGGGGCGGATACATTTCCAGCTAAACACCTCTGAGGTAGTCCCTGAATAACACCACACCAACCCAAGAGGACTTTCTGGCCCCCATCCCACCTCATCCTCCCCAAAGATGCTGCCCCCGGCCCTCCTGGCTCCCAGGGCCCTCTCCTTTCCCCTTGTGCTGGAGGAATGAGGGCTGAGGACCTACAGGTGGGCTGGAGGAGGGGGTGCTGGTAGGGGTGCAGAGTGAGAGTGGGAGAGGAGGAGGTCAGGTGTGGTTAGAGGGCCATGGTCTGGGGAGCCACAGAGGCCCCCAGCGATTCAGACACCCACTCTTGGGGCACCTGGATAGCTCAATTGGTTAAGCGGCTGCCTTCGACTCAGGTCATGATCCAGGAGTCCTGGGATTGGGACCCACATCCCTCAGCTCCCTGCTCAGGGAGCAGTCTGCTTCTCCCTCTGCCTCCCTTCCTTCCTGCTCCTTCACTCACTCACTCTCTCTCTCTCTCTCCCTCCCTCTCAGACACCCACTCCTCCTGCTGTCCCAAGGCCCCCAGGGGGGCACCACAACACAGGAGCTAAAGGCCTCTTTCCCCATCGGTCATGCAGGCTCTGCTTTGCCTCTGAGCCCTCTTTCTTTGAACCCCATATTAGGGTAGGTGGCTCAGGAGAGGCAAGGGACCCAGGGGATGTACATACACCATCACACCAGGGTTTCTGGGACTATTTCGGGGACCTGTGGGCCTGGGACTCCAGAATAAATCCCAGTGGAAGGTTATCAATAGGCTCCCAATAAAACCAGTAGGGACAAAAGGAGCAGATAAACCTGTTAAGGGCAAGTCAACGTGTGTTCTTAAAGCCGTGTTTCTTTCTCTTTTCCTCCATTTTTCTGTTTTTAATTTAAATTCAATGAGCCAATATATAGTACATCATTAGTTCAGATTTAGAGTTCAGTAATCCATCGGGTGTGTGTAACACCCAGTGCTCATCACAGCACGTGCCCTCCTTAATGCCCATCACCCAGTTACCCCCTCCCCCCTCCCCTCCAGCACCCCCCAGTGACAGCGCAGAGGGTCATAGAGGAAGGGAGGGAAAACTGGATGGGAAGTCATCAGAGAGGGAGACAAACCATGAGTGACTCTTAACTAGAGGAAACAAACTAAAGCCGTGTTTCTCATGACGTGGTGCCTTGGACCAGGAACAACAATACCACCTGGAAACTTGGTAAAAATGCAAATTCTTAGGCCTGTCTGGGAGCTACAGGATCAGAAGCTCAGGGAAGCCCAGCAATGCATTTCAGTGGGGCTTGTGGGTGATCCTAACACACGTTCCCATTTGAGAATTGCTGCTTCAGAGGCATCTGGCCAGTAAAAGGGAGAGGCTTTAACCAAAGGACTGGTAGGCTCTACTGGGAGCATTTATGGTGCCACACTGGGACAGAGAGGGGGCTCCCTGGCCCATTGCAAGGCACCCCATGGTACTGACCCACTTAGTTTCGGTGTGTGTTTGCCCTAAAGAATCCAGCTGGGAAGATACTTCTGGCTTCTCTAGGGCTGCAGCTAGCCCCTTCCACACCTTCAAATATCTCAGCAAACAGCGATCTTTCTCTCTGGATAGCAGTTTGGTGAATGGAGCTCAAGGGGCATTTCAACTCCCCCTTGTCCCCTCCCTGTGCAGTAGCCAACTTTCCTAACTTTACATGGCAGCCCTGTAGTTTCCTGTGGCAGAGAGAATGCCAGCAAGAGAGAAGGGTGTTCCCTTTGATTTCGATTCTCCCTTTCAAGGGCTCCTTCAAGTGACAAGGAAGGAAAGGTCAGGGTGGGGTAGGGTGAGCAGGGAAGGAGGGGGGCTGGGATTGCGGGGGACAGAGGGCAGGCCTGGAATCATTTCAAGGCCTTCTGTGCAAACACACATGTGTTCTGTGAGCCCAACATTATTTACCCAGGCAGTGCCAACGGCCCGCTCTGCTCCTGGGTCCCCACCCTGGCCTGTGCCCACGCCCTACCCCCAGGAGGCCCCACCCCAGGAGAGCCCCCTCTCTGTCTCCCACCCCTTCCTCATCACCCCTACCTGCCTCCTGCCCCATCCACGTCCCCAGAACTCCCAGGCCTGCCACGTTAGGACAGTCTCTGCCAGCACTCTGGGCCATATGCCAGGGAGACGGAAGCTTATCCAAGAAGCAGGAGAACTTGCTTCCCTCATGGCACTCCTGTTTGCTTGGCCACAGCCACAGGTAGGATGGGAGGCGGCTGCTGTGTTTCGGGGCACAGCGGCATGAGGGGGTCAGTGAGGATGAATGGGCAGGGCAGGTGGCAGCATTTGCTAGGCAGGGATGTGATGACACATCCCTGACACGCAGTGAGCGTGCCTCCCTGAGAGAAGCAGCCCGGGCCTTCTTCACATTCCTGTTCCGTGGAGAGGGGAGTGAAGGTGCAGAGGACTAAGGGATTTGTATCCGGGCCTTTGGACTCCTGGCCCAGGGCTTCTTCACCTGCACAGAATTCCCTCCTCCTCCCCACTCCACAGTCCGGCTTCCCCTCACCTTGCTCCTAAATGCCAAGGCACCTGCTTCCAACCAAGGCTTGATCCCGGCTCCCGATACCTCCCTGCTGAAAAATAGGTCAACAATTAACCATGCGGTGGGAGGAAAGATTTGACTGTCTATAAGTGGGGAGGTGGTGGGGAATGCTCTGACCCCAGCAGCCCACATCTGGGGGGATTTTGGTTTACTGGACAGGGAGCCAGGGGTTTATGTGCCTAGCCTGCTAGTCTGGAGTCCCCTGCAGGCTCCAGGGTTGGACTCGGGAGGGAAGAGCGAACTACTCAGTGTGTACATCCTATGTCCCAAGCATTCATGCCCACATCCCCCTAACTACCCACAACCCTGGGGGGACGTGGGCCTGTTTCATAGGTGGGAACAGTGAGGCTTAGAGATCTTACACAGCTTGCCTGAAGTCCTCAGCTGGCCACATGCAGGCTCTGCTCATTGTACCACATTCCCTCTTAGGCTTCTGCTCCAGCCAGTCCATTTTCCCAGGGTCAAGTTGCCCACTTCTTGACTGGGCAACTTGACCCTCTAAAGTCCATTCCCACCTCCTGGCTGCTCAATCTACCCCACCGTCAAGCTCTTTCCCCTTTAACACTCCTTCACTGGGCACCCCTGTGCTCAAGAACCTCCCATAGCTCCCCATTGCCAGCCTTGCACAATTCCGATGACTGGTACCCACCTCTAAGCCCACCTCCTCTCCAGCCCAGATAATCAGAGTTGGAAGGACCATACGTTAACGTGATCATTTTATAGATCACATATGGGGAAGGGATTTGTTGGCTGGTCAGTGACAGGGTCTAGACCAGAACCAGGGATGGACTGACATCGTAACAATATCCAGGCTCTAAGGACAATGGCATTTTCCCCCTGGCCTCAGTGCTGTGAGTACAAAGTGGCTATTTTCTCTTGTGCTGCCATCCCCCTGCCCAGTGCATGCCCCTTCCCTCTCATGGAAATTCAGCCCAGAGCCCTCCTCTCCCAGGAAGCCCTCCGTGGCAGGTTCCTTCTCTGACTTCCCAGCTCTCCCCATCTGTGCCACGTAATTAGCCATGATTATGTTCACAGGTGACCATTCACCCGAGAAGACACATGTACACTGGGAAAAATGAGGATCTGAGAGTGGAAAGGACATGCCCACAGTCACAGCAGACTAGGACCAAACTGGGACCCTGCTGACCCTCAGGCCCCTGCTCCATAGGCCTGGGGCCCTGGGACAAGCCTCTGTGTTTGCCAGGTCCAGGGCCTTCAGAAGGCAGGCCTGGCCCTCCCACCGGCCTCTGCTGGGCCCGAGGTGCGGCCCGTCTCCCGAGCAATGCCTTCAGCTCCGAAACCTCGAGTTGATCTCTTCTGGATTAAACCACATGTCTGGATTAAGGCTCAGCATGTCCTGGCTCCCTCCTGCCCCAGAGGCTCTGGCTCAGACTTCAGACAAAGAAAGTTTGGTAACAGCTGGTGGAGGCCAAGGCCCAAATACAGGGCCAGATCGACAGGGCAGCGGCCAGAGGGATTAGCCACCTTGGGGCCCCTTCTCTCAGCACCTCCCACTCGCTCGGGAAGGCAGATCAAGGAGAGAGGGCAGAGGGACCCCAAGTTAAGAGACTTATAGCAGCTGTTCCTTGCCGCTGCCGGGTCTGTGGCCCTATAACTCCCCTCCCTCCCGAGTTCTCACTCCCACCCTGACCTGGCATCAGCAAAAGATCCCCCGATATCTCTTGAAGGCACAGCCTCAGGGAGATGCAGTTACCAAGGAGGTCTTTACTGAGGCCCTGGGCTGTCACAGGATTGGAGCCCGTCTCCCATACCCTGTTCAGTCCAGGCTCCCAGATCTTACCCAGCGAGGGATTGTGGGTGGCACAAATGTCCTCAAGCCCCTCTCAATCCTGGGACCAACCTCAGTCTGCCCTGAGCTGAGGACCCTGGCTGCAGACCCCAGTGAGAAGAGCACCAAGGGAGGGTCGGTGGGGCAGGGGGTGACATTGCCTACCACGGAGCTGGCCTTTCTCCACCAACCAGGGCAGCCCTCCTCAGGCTTCCTCACTGCTCGGCCATGGTCCTGGCTGGCAGCCCCTCCCTCTCCATGCAAGGGCCTCCTTATGAGGGAGTTGGGGACGGTGGGAGGGCAGAGTGGGTAGGGGCCACAGGGGCCGGCCCCCCAGGCCCCCAGTCAGCACCTGCGAGAGAAGCCGGGACTGCCCGGAGTCGGGGGCCAGTGCTCACGACCTGCCTGAGCAACTGTGTTCGGCTTCTCTGAACCCTCCCTGCCTCTCCCCTCTACCTTCTCACCTTCCACTCCTCCTACTGTCCCCTCACTTCTCCTCCCATGCTCCTGCTGCCCTCCAGGGGCCCCCAGCCCCCTTGCCCTGTGAAATTGCTCTTCAAACAAGCTGGACCCAAGAAAATTACCCAGCCTCCTCCTTACTGACCAGGCTTCGCTGTCCAGAGCACCGCCTCTCTGCACTGGACAGGCGACCTTCTTGCCCGGGAAGATGTCCAGGCTCAACACCTCGGGCAGCTCCAGCCTTCCTCCAGCACCCCACTGTGGCCATCCCCACACACCTGCTGCCCCTTGGGGTCTTCAAGGCAAGAAGAAGGGAGGTGGGTCCGGCGGGGGTGGGCGGTGGCTGGGGGAGAACTCACCTATCTTGGGTTCAGTGTAGGAGCAGGGGAGGCAGGTTTCTTCTAGGCCTCCTGACTTTCTCTCACCTCCTCAGATCCCAGACACGTGCAGGCCACTGGCCTGACGGTCCAGGAGCCCTGCTCCCTTGGGGGTGCACTTTGTGGAGCCAGTCAGTGGGCCCAGGAGGTGGGTGTAAAGAATGGGGTGTGGGGGTGAGGCTAGATAGGAATCAGAGGCTGGGTAGGGAGTCGGGACACAGGGCCAGGTGGCAGGAGCAGAAAGGTCGAGGGAACTTCAAGGAAATCTGGTCTAGTCTACTTTTCCCATAGTTCCCACAGGCAGCCAGGAGCCCAAAGGCACATTTGTATGAGCTATGGCTGCCGTTTGCTCCAGCTGCACGAGCACCGCTGGTGTCCATCCATGCCGCCTCACTGACATCGCTTGCAACCCCTTCTGAGACCAGGTGAAGGCCAACTGAGTAAACTCCTTCGTTGGGCTGTCACAGCCATCCTGTGGGGCAGCCACTATTACTCCCACCTGACAGATGCGGGCGTGAGTCCGTGGGGACTGAGCACTTCTCTCTTTATACATGGTACTGTGACTTGGCACCTCCCAGCCCCTCAGGTCTCCCCTGCTGCCCACACCTGTCACCACTGCCGAGGCCACCCACTGACCCAGCCCCTTGGAGATGCCAGCCCCACGAGGGCCCTGGGTGGCACGGATGCCTGCAGCCTGGAGGTGCAGGAACCCGCCTCAGCACCATGCTTTCCCCTGTATTTGAGTTTGCTCCACTGGAAATGTGGGTCTCCGTCCTGCTCTGTTCGCACTGTACGTGAGGCCCTGGGCAGCGCTTGGTGCCCTCTGGGCCCCGGTCTCCTCTTCTGTGCTCCGAAGGGGTGAGTCATCTCTCAGGGCTTTTCTAGCCCCACGGTGTCTGGATTCTACGATCCCCTGTCCCCATCTCACCCCTCAGCCTGGCTTGGAAGGTGGATGGTGGAGAAACAGAGGTGGATCCCAGGGGCTACCTTGACGAGTAGAAACATAGTTCATGGGGAACATTTGGGCAGAATGAAGGATGTGGCCGTGTCTCCTCCCTGCCTCCTCTGGAGTTGGTGTCCAGGGCCTCTGAGAGACTTGGTCCGGCCTCCTCACCCGCAGGGCCCCCGCCAGGCTGCCTCTTGCGTCACATATGACCCTCAGTGTGGGGTACACCCCCAGCAGCACTGAAGTGCTGACACTTCAGGCCCAGAGCTCTGGCAGGGGCTGTGGGAGTCAGAGGCAGGAAGAACCTGCTGCCCCAGAGCAGAGAGACCTAGGCCCCCACCAGTGTCACTGGTCCCAGGTGCTGAGACCCTAGCTGGGCAGTCACCCCCAGACCCTTCTCCTGAACTCCAGAGCTAGAGCGAGAAGGAAGGGCTCCTCAGTTCTGGTGGTGGCCAGAGAGACCTCACTGTCCGTCTGGAAGATCCTGGGTGGGCTCTGGTCGGACTGGTCCCCAGCGGAGTCACACTCAGGTGCCTGGCTAGGGAGGAGAGGTCAGGAGGGATGAGGAGGCTCACCCTCCCCCAGTCTGGGGCCCCACTCAGCTGCTGAAAGGTGGGAGAGGAGAATCTGGCAGGGGGCGCCTCCTGAGCAGGGATCATGCAAACGAGGCAGGGGAAAGGAGCCCAGCATTAAATGTCAGGAAGAGCCCAGGGCAAATCGGCTTGTGCAAAGTTTGCTTTGGGAAGAGTGGTTCTACCTGACAGGCTGCTGGCTAGGCTGGGGTGCAGGGTTGGGTGAAGAAAGGGAGGGGGTGGGGCGGGGGCAGGGTCCCAAACCAGGTTTGAGCCCCAGCCCCTGGCCCTCTAGCTCTGGGACTGGTGTAAGTCACTTGGCTTCCTCAGAGACTCAGTGATCCTGTCTGTTAAATGGGCTGTCAAGAGCATGCTTTAAGGAGCTATAAAGATTGAGGGCATGAAGGTGGATGAAAGTTCCGTGTGAACTGAGATGGGCTTATCATTCAGGAAGGTGGCACCTGGGAGCAGATGAGGGGATGGGGTAGGAAGAGGAGAGGGAATGGTAATGGGGTGAGGAATGAGGGTAACAAAGGAAGAAGTAGGGGGTGATGGTTGGTGGAGCCTGGGGAGGAGTTGAGGTTGGCAATAAGGGAGGCCTGGGCCTTACCTGAGGTCATCCTGCCCTCTAGGTCAGTCTTGGGCAGCTACTGGCCTCACTCACCCCTCTCTGGCCTCTAGGAGGAGCCAGAGCCAAAGCCAGAGCCGCCCGCCTCTCCAGACCTGAGCCTAGGGGTCAAGGCTGGGAAAGCACACATCTTCGAGCTCTGGCAAATCCAGCCAGCTAGCCAGCCTCCACCAACTCCTATACAGCCTGCAAAACCCAGCTCCAGATGATCCCTTCCAAGAAAGCCTCCTTTAACGGAGGAGACCACCTTGTCTAACCTTCTCATTACACAGGCAAGGGCTACAGGGAGGGAGAGTGACTTGGCCAAGGTCACACACCGTGGGCCTTAAGCCCATCCCTTCTTGCCCTCCACCCAGAGCATCTTTGTCTGCAGGTTAATCTGAAACGACTTTGCAGGTTACACTCAAGCCTCACCAAGTCGCTTGAGGAAAAAATGGGGCTCTGATTGTTTCAGGGCTATTAGCTTTACACCTGCACTGACCTCAGTAGTAAAAAGTGGGTTCTCCTGGTTTTCCTGCTTATTGCCAACATCGCAATTTTAGATCACCAACTGAGCGACCACCCTGCTCCCTCAAGCTTGGTGGACAGAGAGGCCCTGTCTCATTCAGGGGGTCCTTGTGAAAATCGAATGGCATCTCATTTATATCTCATTTTATAAGTGGCATTTTATCACAGGTTAACTCACAGCAAGCAGGTCTAAGAGGGACTGAGTTTTGGTCTCTGGGGCCCCCCATAGTGCCTGGGGCAGAGGAAATTATTGTCATTTCTCAAGGGAGAGGGTGGCTCCCCATCCTGAGAGAGCATCTCTGCTACACCTCAACCTTTCCAGGGCCCCGAGTCTGTAAGTTTGGGGGTAATGAGCCCCCACGCTGGGAGTCCTCGGCTCCAGCCCCACCCCCAGTTGGGCTAGGGCTTGGCACAGGTCCACACATATGCTGGGGAGTCTCCTGCCCATCCCATCTGCCACCTCAGGCCCCAGGGCAGCCTGATGCCTGTTTGTTTTGTTAGTCAGTGGAGCAGCTGGTCCTGGGGAGATGCAGCTTTACTGGGGATTCCTGTGAAGCTGTTTATTGGGGTGGTGGGGGCAGGAAATGAGGCCTCGTCCCAGCCTTGGCCAAGGAAAGGGAGAAAGGCCATACTGTCATACAGGCAGTGGGCCTGCCCACTCCCCAACACACACACACAGATGCCCATGCACCTGCAAGCACATACCCATACACACACACACACACACACACAGGAATGCACATACATACACACCCCTTGTCCAGCTTCAGGGGGACCCCCCAACATCCAGATCCTTCAGCTCTCTATCCCATCATTACCACTGTCACTTCCCTCTCTCCACAGAAGGCATCTGGCAAATCTTAGAAAGGGGGGTCTTCAGGGACATCCCATTTCCCTGCTAGTGCGCTCAGACTGGGGCCCACAGGCCATTTGCTTCCCTGGGTCCCTGAACCCCCAGCGGTTAGCTCTGCAGCTCCCCAGACCACCTGGGTCCTGCACCCACCACTGCCACAGCCCAAGCCCTGGCCCTGGACCTGTCCCCGCTGCTCCCAGCCTGAGCTTGGCCCCTAGCCTCCAGGCCTCAGCAAGCCCCTGGACACAGTGGCCTGGCCCCAGGCAGACCCTTCCCTTGGCAGAGCAGCTGCAGCTGGCAGAGCAGAAAGGTCGCCTGTGTTTTACTAGCCAAGCAGAACTGGCCGTGTCTTAGGGGCCGAGGCTCTGCACCTGCAGAGCCGCCTCCCTCAGGCTGCACAGGCCGGGCTCAAGGTGTGGCCTTGGGGGCTCACGCAGGCTCTGGGGTCCACCCAGGGAGGCAGATGGGTGGCAGGGGCAGGGGCTTCTGAGGGTGAAGGACCCAGAGCAGAGGGCCAGCAATGCCTGGGAGGCCAGTTCTGAGCTCACAGACCATGCCTCCAAGTCCTGCTCTCCCGTCACCCACCTCCCCACAGCTGCGAGGAGGACACCCCCCGCAAGGCAGTCAGTGTTCCCACCAGACTCACCCGTTAGCTGCCTCGTGCCAGGGAGTCGTCCACTGCAGCGCCAACCTCGGGGGAGGCCAGGAAAAGGTGGAGGCAGCGTGGGCCACTGCTGGGGTTCAGCCAGGCATCTGGGGGACCAGTGGGACAGGAGGCCAGCAGGGCTGGGGGCAGAGCTGGTGCTCGGGTGGGCCGCTGGGGACCTGGCCACCCTCAAGGGGTGGCCCTCTGAGATCCCAGGGCCTTGTGCCCTGCAGGGAGCCCTCTGCCCCCAGCCCCAGGGCCACCTGTTGGCACAGTGGCAGGACCTAGCTGAAGGGGCTTACATGGAGGCTGTGGTGGGCTCAGGGCAGTGTGGACACGGGCAGAGTGCAGGAATGTGCTGGGAGGAAGTCAAGCAGCCGTGAGATGAAGAGTTGGCCAGGCCTGATTTCCCATTATAAGTAATCCTTCCTTATTTACCTGAACAAATACGCTCCCTGCTTACCTCAAACCACAGGCGGGCTCCTAGTTAACCCTTGCAGGCCTCCTTCTCCTCAATAGGGGAGCCACATTCTCACTGCTAGACAGCCCACTCACTCATTCATTCATTCATTCACTTACACACTCATGTTCATTAGTTGATGCATAGTTACTGAGCTTATCTAGTATGTGCAAGGCACAGGGGGTACATCTAGAGGGACGTGGGGTAGGGCCCTGAGAGGGAACAGCCAAGATTGGGGAACAGACAAGCAAGCTCTGTGGAAAGTCAGAGCCACCCATGCCTCCTCTCCAACGGAGGTCTGCGGAAGCACCCAGCAAGGCAAGTCAGAGAGGGCTTCCTGGAGGAGGTGCTATCTGGCTCTCCAGGCCTGGGATGGAGGGAACTTCAGAGAACCCTGTGGAAAAGGACCAGAAGCTCGTGAGCCCACTCACTGCGTGTGGGGCCGGTGTTGTCCGTGTCCCCCGGGGCCTGGTGCAGGTCTAGCGTGCAGTGGTGCCCAGGAAGGATTGGAAGCTCACTGCCCCAGGCCCAGAGCTGGGGGTGGGGGTGACAGGCAGCAGCAGCTTGCTCTCCAACAGCCTCTGAGGGATGCAGGTGAGGAGGTACCCATGCTTGGCCCCTCCACCTCCATGAGTCCCAGGAGGACCGCAGAGCGGAGCTCTCCACTTCCTCCCCATCCTGCCAGGTGGGTTGCGGGATGTCCCAGGAGGGCAGGGGCTGGCTCTTCCTTTCTTTGGATCACCCTGGGAAGGCACCAAGCCCCTACTACCCCCGTTCTATCAGATGAGGGCATCTTAGATGATGCTCACTGTTGTTTTCTGATTTCAAAAGGAACCATGTGGCTGCTCGCAGTGAGAGTATTCTGGGGCTGCAGAAAGATTCCAAGGCCTTCGGCACTGGCCCTCTCACCATAACGGAGGCCCCAATTCTCCAGCATCTGCTTGGACTCCTCATCCTGGAGAGCCCTGTGCTTGGCTGTTACGGTCACTGGCATCTTGGTAAGGATGTTTCCATAGTCAGTCCCCAGAAAAAAGTGGAAGCAGGCTGGGCTGGAGATAAAGATAGGTCTTTAGGCAAAAACCTAAAATGGCTACGGGCCACCAGCCCAGCCCACCAGAGCCAATAAAAAGAAAGACCTGTCTCTGCCTGGGTGGCTCAGCAGTTGAGCACCTGCCTGCCTTGGGCTCAGGGCGCGATCCCAGAATCTGGGATCGAGTCCCACGTCGGGCTCCCTGCATGGAACCTGCTTCTCCCTCTGTCTGTGTCTCTGCCTCTCTCCCTGTGTCTCTCATGAATGAATAAATGAAATCTTTAAAAAAGAAAAGAAAAAAGAAAGAACGAAAGAAACAAAGAAACAAAGAAAGACAGACCTCTTTCGTCCCAGGCAGGACCTCCTCCAGAATACCTTTCATACCCCAGTCCCCTGCCTGGCAGGCAGCCTTCCTCTCCAGTCTCGCAGAATCTTGTGCCCTTCTCTGCACTGTGACACAGTAGTAATAATGACCACTGCTCATTATTAAGCAGCTACTAGGTGCTGCTTGACACTCAGGAAATATGATATTGACCATATTATATATATATAATATTATATACATATATATAAAATATGTACTATAACATGGGTAAGTACAAGGACTACCCCCAAAAATGCTCGTTCTTTTTCTTTCTTTCTTTCTTTCTTTCTTTCTTTCTTTCTTTCTTTCTTTCTTTCTTCCTTCCTTCCTTCCTTCCTTCCTTCCTTCCTTCCTTCCTTCCTTCTTTCAAGATTTTACTTATTTATTCATGGGAGACACAGAGAGAGAAAGGCAGAGACACAGGCAGAGGGAGAAGCAGGCTCCATGCCGGGAGCCCGACGTGGGACTCGATCTCGGGACTCCAGGATCATGCCCTGGGCTGAAGGCAGGTGCTAAACCGCTGAGCTACCCAGGGATCCCCAAAATGCTTTTTCAGTGGATGGGGTGTCAGAAATAGTCACCCCTATTGTCCATTTTCCCTATTTCCTCAGAAACAAGCCCCTAATTTTTGCCTGGGAACTTGGTTACCTGGAATAAAGACGATCCAGACTCCTTCGCAACCAGACTGTGTGTCCAGGTCCAAGTTTCATGTGCCAGTTTCTAACAATATCTCTTAAAGGTAAACTGGCATGTACCATTTGCCCCCTTCTTCTGGACCCTTCCTCCATCTTGCTGCCTGGAATGCAGCTGTGATGGAGGGAATTCTGGTTGCCATTTTGGACCGTGAGGACCAGGTGGTGGATCAGTGAGCTGGATGGAGCCCAGGTCTCTGAGGACTGCATAAAACCTCCATACTGGCTCTGCACTGCGTGTCTTGGTAAATTTATTAGAGAAATAGACCTTATGCTTTTTGTTAAGTGTGGTCTTTAATATTAAAAGCCAACTTTGATCCTAGCTGAGACAAGAAAATAGGCAGATGAAGATAGAACACACCTGGGGCACTTAGGTGGCTCAGTGGTTGAGCATCTGCCTCTGGTTCAGGTCGTGATCCCAGGATCCAGGATCGAGTCCCATGTCGGGTTCCCTGCATGGAGCCTGCTTCTCCCTCTGTCTCTGTGTCTGCCTCTCTCTCTCTGTGTGTCTCTCATGAATAAATAAGTAAAATCTTTAAAAAAAATTAAAAGAGACAGAACCCTCTTCCAGCCAGAAGTGATATCCCATGGCTGGGTGGCATTGAGAAGGCACCTGGTTGTGTCACAGACAATCTTGGCCTTGGGAAGGCTGGCCTTTGAATGCCAGATAGCCTTACTCTGGATGCAAGGGAGCACCTTGTAGGTGTCTCCAGGGATGGGTGGACTTGAATGGATGGACCAGGCTAAGCTGTGCTGAGGGTGGGCAGTGATTCTATCTGCCCAAGCCTAGAGTATGTGCCTCTGGAAGCTGGGAAGTTCCAAGAGGGAACCAAGGAGAAGACTTTCCATCTGCTCAGCTGGGGCTCACATGGGTTAAGGTGCTAAGAGGTGACTCTGAGTGACTTCAGAGGTGGGCTCAAGGCAGATTTGGTGGTCACTGAAGACATTCTGCTGGGTTCCAGGGGAAGGGAGGCCCAATTATAAACTATCTGTAACCCGTGAAGGGACTCTGGGGGACACACACCTCTCAACACTTTGATCCATCCAACATCATGCTGTGGCACCAACTCCGAAATTGACCCAACTATACAATCAGGTTCTTTCACTTTCCAGCTTCAGGACTTTGACTAAGTGTCTGAAGCCTGCTGAAACCCCCTCTCCCCAACCCCAGAGAAGTCTCAGAGCCACTGTGGGAAGAGATATAATATTGGTGAACGTGTTCTGTGAATCGAGACACCTGTCCCGATGTCTTGCTGCACCAACCACAGCCCCCCTATTTGATGTGTGTCATCTAACTCCTCATAGCAACCTCTCCATAGATATTGCTATGTCCATTTTCCAGGTGAAGAAAATGAGGCTGGAATGTGAGAAATGTCTTGCCCAAGGTCATGCTGAGAAGCAGACTCAAACTCAAATCTGGAGTTTCCTTGATTGTACTGTGCCTGGTAGGACCCTGTTACTATCCCTTGTCCCCTCAGGGTCAAGTCTCAGGTCCCGGGCATGAGTCACTGGGTCCACTGGGCCATGCCCCTCCCTCCTCTGGCTGGTGTCCTCCTCAACTCTCCTCTGGCCAGTTCCCATCAGGTGAAACGTACCTCCTTCATTCACATACCACCCACCTGTTGTGGGCACCCTCCAGACCTGGGCGCTGGCACACCACTCACCTTGGCCTGATGCCACTTCTTGGGGTTCTTCTCCAACTCACTGAGATAGTGTTTTCTCTCTTGCCACTGGGAGCTCTGAGCCCCAGCCCCAGGGACAGTATGCTGTGACCGCCCAGGACAAGACCCCAGTAGGAGCCTCTGCCTAGTCAACAGCCGGATGAACCAGTAACATCCTTTGTCTGTTGCTCAAATGGATTTATGTTGAGTTTCTTCTACTTGGGATTACTCCTCATCCTTCAAGCCCCATCTCAAGAGCTGGCACCTCCAGAAGGTTTTCTCGTGTTCCCTCCAGCCCTTGCAGACTCCCCATTTCCCATTTCCCTGTACTCTAATGTCTCCCAGTGGTTCTTTTCTCCCTAAGATTCTCACCTGTCCAGGGCAGGGGCCCCGGAGCTGCAGCAGCACAGGAGCCTGCACACAGATTATGGGTCCTGGTGCCAATGGCCTGAGCCCTCTCCCGGGGTGCTCCTGCCACCGCTCACCCATCTCCCATCTGAGAGTGAGAGCACCTAGTGGGGGCAGGGCCCATTTCGTAGCAGGGTGACGGCAAGCCGGCTCAGGCCCCTCTGGGCCTCGCTTACCTCCTCTGTTGTGTGGAGATCATACTTGCCCTGCTGCCCTCGGATAGAGCACTGAGATGTGTGAGTGGCAGCTGACATTGGCGGTTGGAAGTACCGTGGAAAGGGCTGTCAGTGTTGGTGGGTCGGTTGGTGGGAACGTCCCCTTCCTAGCTTTCTTCCCCCATCCTCCAACCTGGGTCATCCTAGGAACTGCAGCCTTGGGGTGACGGCAGGGTCAAGGCTGGGCCTCATGCCAGCCAGAGAGATGGGGCTGTCCCTCCCAGTTGACACAAGGCCCTGAGAAGGAGGGAAGACTGCCCTGATGAGGTGTAAAGAGCCTGGGGCTGGTCCCTCAGATGGGACCGCAGGGGCTGATGGGCAGGAAGCCTGGCCTGCCACCCCCCAGAGACCATGCAGTTTTCGTGGCACAGTGGGAGACTCTGAGACCAGCGAGGCTGGGGAGCAGACCCAAGGACACACAAAAGGGCTGGGATAGGAGTCCAGCCTCCAACTGTACTCCTGTGTGGCGTGTGCCAGCTCATCTAATCTTTTTTTTTTTTAAGATTTTATTTATTTATTTGAGATAGAGACAGAGAGCA